AGTGATACAAACAGATAGTTGTCTCATTAAACAACAGGAAAGTAATTGGTACAGGTGACGATAGGTAGGATGGGGTTGACGTTCTCACAGAAGGAAAAAACAACAGAAAGTAAAAATACTGAGGTACAGCAGAAAACTAACCTTCAGAGTACTAGATGTGTAAAATGCGTGGTACTGTTTAATGCGTCGAAAATCTTTTGTGGATTCACTTATTCTTAACAAAGCTGTTCACACCATTCTCATAATTTGATGAGTCAGAAGCGTTTATTTTTTTAAATCAACCAAGCTCGATTTTTCCAAGTTTTCAACGAATAAACAGATCTGACCATTGCATTTGGCAGCAAGTGCACTCATATTCTGAAAATGCATGCTAAGCGCCTTGAGGCAACTGATGTTGTGATGTTGCGTTATAGAATTAAAATGGAATTGAATTGAATTTTGCTCTTGCATATTCATGCAAAGTTTTTTTTCAGATTGTCCCAACCATTAAGGAGGAGATAAGGCACACACAGATCATATACATACATATGCTCCGATCATCATAGTAAGATTATTTTTACATTATCATTATTTTAATATTAGCCCAATTACCTTCACAGTACTATACATGATTCATGATTACCTTTATGATATGACAGGGTCATCTGGATATTTCACACGGAACAATGGATTGGTAAAAGAGAAGACATCCATCCTGGATATTTAACACATACTGTGTTTAGATCCTTGATGACATGCTAAATGGACATGGAAATGGTAAAACTATAGTCACCATCCTTCAGCCTTCTCTCTGCCATGAGTATTTTTCACTCCCATTTATAACCTAAAGCTCCAGAGTTTCTGTCTGACTGCTCTGACTCCAACCACAGTCGCTGATCACATGTTCCTCCCTGTTTCTTAAACAGCTAGCAGGATAAGGACCTCAGCTCCACAGCAGTGCATTTATAGCAGCAGTACAGCCGTTAACTTAATGAGAGTGGGCTCTACATTTTAACAATGCAGTTTTATGACCTTCTTCTTTTCACAGCGCATCCAGAGTTTTATAAAGCATATCTTGCTAGCCAAAGGACACGGCTTGCTTTCCTTTACTGATTACTCTCTGCAGACACTGTAAAAACTAATTGAATGGAGGGGTTTTGTAATAAGTGAATTAGATTAAGACTGTTTAACTCATTTTGAAATGTAAGTATTCACAAAATGTTTCCAATGATGATGGAGTGCCGTCCTACTACACTGGTGCTTTTCAAGTCTTTTATGAGTGTATGTACTTACTTAAGATCATTAGTAGTTTTTTTAAAGTACAAAACGGGGGTGCCGAGTTGAATTGTGTACACTCGAAGTACTTTAAGCACTTCAAATAGACCTTTGACTGTCTAGAAATGCAATAACAACATCTATCCAGCAGAGGGAGGTGTTCTACAACATCTGAATACAGGAAATGCACTGTCTCCTCATAAACTGGATCCCGTGGCTTGTCTAATTCTCTTGTGTGCTTGTTTGATGCTGCTCAGTCAGTTAGCATGGGAAGCTCAGAGTCTATTTAATGAGCACGACAGCGTTTTAATACAGGATTACAGGTTATAAATGTGATTTTAGAGAGAACGTGTACTTTGCAGCAGTCCTGACCGCTGGATACAAAGTTATCTTTTCTTGTACCTTTTTGAATCAGCATCAGGGCAATTTACAAATTCTTCCAGTCATATACCACCTTTTGCAACCCATGGATGGGAGATCAGCATGCACAGCCTTGATTTACAATAGGCTTGTACCCTAGCCGAATGCAATCCAAGCCAGTCGACAGTTTAATTCAGCAGTGCAGAGTTTCACTATTCTCCCTTGAAAATCTCACTTGTGATGCAATCCAGGAAAAAAAAACCTCTCTCCCACTCACAGTTTCTGACAGCAAAGGCTCCAGCTCCCAGTCTGGTCACATACTGCTTTGTTGTTGCGGTTAATAATATTTGGTAAGCAGATGATACTCTTGCAGCTGTTGACTCCTTTTAATCTCCTCCCTGACCTATGAGGAGAGGCCAGAGCCTCGGGGACCTTTGTACCTACCGTATCTCCCCTCTCGTTTTAACAAGACACCTGAGATCTGCCCTCTGCGCAAGGAATGGTGAAAAAAAAAAAGATTTCCCTCTGCACCGGCCCAGAAGAAATAGTGCTTATCAGCTCCCTTTTCTAGGTTCTCCGTCCAGATTGACAACAAGACGTTGCTAACGGTGTGTGATTACTCTTCCTTGGTGCATTCTATGTCTTTATAAGACACATTTAACATACCGAAATCTTGACCTTGGAAATCGTGCCCTTTTGATATCAGCCCCCTTTATTTCATATGTCAGAATACTTCAGAACACTTCTAAGTGACAGTATTGTTTCACAGGGGTTAGAAATGAATGATTAAACACTGTACACACATTTAAGAAATGAAAGCAGAAAAAGGGATTTTGAAAATGCAGGGTCAGTTTAAACTAACAGTAATGAAGTCACAGTTTTGCATCCTAAATCAGGTGAAACTAGCTAGACCTCTTCACTTCGCAATTAAACTACTCAAAGAGTCCAGTGCTCTTTGCATTTCGCTGCACTGAGCAGTCATCATTTTTGTACATAGCAAAGACATATTGCTAAGATCATCTAACATTTGCTTAAGTGAGTTACAGGATCACGGTGCAGTTCCTCTGCACTAATGGCTGTCATAATTGAAGGCTAATCTAGTGTGCATTTATCTATCTGTCCATCCATCTATCCATTTCCTGCCACCTATCTGCATTTAGTAAGTGGCTCAGACATACTTCCAGCCGCATCTTTCTTTCCATGAGACATCAAGCTGCCTTCTGAAGGCAAAATGGGATACTTCATCCCTCTAGTGTGTTCTGATTGTACGTCCAGTCACCCCGAAGACCTTGCACAAGTCATCCCGGGCTCCAAACTATATCGAATGACTGAATTCCTCACCTGACTCACTGACTGTAAAGACGCATCAACCTCTGTCTGAAAGTCTAAACTCAGAACTCAGTCATCCAGCGAAAGAGGCTTGTTTGGGTAAATTACAGAACGTCTTGGTTCATTTTTTCCTGTGACTAGAAAGATTCCATCATGAGGGTTGTAACGTTGAACTGTGGATTCAAAGCGAGCATACGGAGTGTCATCTTCACACACTGCTTCTTCTGACCACAGCTTGGTAACACCCAAAATTTGCTGTTATTAACCCCGATTCTTTTGTCCCCATGATAGAACAGAGAAAACCCGACTCACAGTGGTCAAAACATTTATATTTCTTTTTATTCAATCATCTTCCGGAAGAGAGAGCCCTGCACAGCCCCAAAAGCCAGCTGCAGAAACTCTAACATTTTTAGCTGAACATGTGTCTTACATAGTGTTATTTCGGTACTTCAGATGTCACACACGTGACACACACAGTTTCATTACAAACTCCTTCTACTCAGTTCCTCTTTTCTGTGTCTGATTTATTTGTCTGATTTAATAATATGCCTGTGCACTAAAACTTCCTGTGCAACTTGCAATAACTTCCCCTTTCTGAGGTCCGTTACCAGGGCAACCTGTCTGAACTTAGTTTATGAGTCAAAAGTGGCTTTGCTTTACAAACCTTCATTATTAAAGTACATAAAACAATATAATAAAGAAAATAAACACTAAGGATATATTAATTGCATGACACTGTGCAATGATACACCTCACAGATTGTATGGGAAGACTCACTAATGAGTCATGAATCGACCAACAATCATCACTTGACTTGCTTGACCTCTTTTCTTTTTGGGACCCGTCTTCATTGTTTTACTTTTAGGGCCCACTGTGTCCTTGGGCAAAATTTCAGCAAGTTTCCTCCTGTCGTCTTGGTGTCTACGTGGTTAAAATGAGAGACAAAAATGCTGAAGCTCTTTGTAAAGAGCTAGGGTAAAGAGGTGCTATATGTAAGTACAGTCCATTTACCCTCCTCAATGCTCCTATCGGCATCGCTTCCAGATACAGCCGCAATTACTTTGATCAAAAACAGCTTTAAAGCCCCCTGCTTCATGCTACCTGTCGAGGACCAAATGACAAACAGAGAAAGCATCTAGCAGCTGAAGGGCCACATATTTCCCTCGAGGGTGAGCGAAGAACAAAACAGAACTTAATAGAAAGTTAGTATCGTGGCAAGATTCATCAAACAATTGATTGCCAACACGACTGATTCAGCTCAGTTCAATTCACAGCATAGAGGCGAACCCCAACGATTTAATTTGAATACGCTATTAGGGACACTAACTGGTCACTTTTGGCTGGCATGTTGTGCTTGTGCTGCCACCTAGTGGTCACATCAATGCAGGTAGTCTTTACTGTGTACCAGCTGAGCTCTGCATCCATGCTCATTTTCCTTAAATAATATACTCAACCAGGAAGCAGAAATTATAGGTAAGTATTTATTGTTGCTGTTATTTGTATTATTATTGCTCTATATGTAACCCGTGCATTCGTATATTACGGTGTTTCATATTTCACCCACCAAAAAAGTACCAAAAATAAATTTAAAAAAATTAAAAAGAAGAAAACAAAAATCTGCGTCAGCCTGGCACAGATCATCACCTATAAACGCTGGAAGCAAACGCGTTTTGCTTTTCCACGCGAGTATTTCAGCAGATCGAGCGCCCTTTTCCGCCGAATTATGCGTCTCGCCTCCTCGTCATGACAACTAGCAGTGAGACTGAAATATTGCGCGAGAGTCAATGAGACTGCGCTCAGAGAGAGAGCGAGAGAGGGAGATTGAAAAGCAGTGGGATCTCCTTCAGTGCGGGCTTCAAAAATAAATACCACTGCATCATCCTGATATTCACAGCCTTTCAGGTGTTGTTCCAAAAGCACCGGGCTGATCGGAAGGTGCGGGCTCTGTTTTCTCATTCCGAGCTTTCTCTCCTTAGCATCAGAGACCAAGTGAAGAGAGAGAGAGAGAGAGAGAGAGAGAGAGAGAGAGAAAGAGAGAGCACCACGCAAGCGCGCGAAGAAGAGATTGGACACCTGATTTCGGTGGGGTGTCTTCGCTGAAGCGCTGTTTCGTGTTTTAAGTCAGTCAACCTGTAATCTTTTTTTTTCTTTAAAGGGGGCCGTTCGGCACAGCGGGGGCGCACACCGCGGATTATTATCAGCGCGGGCAAATGGGGGGAGAGAAAGAGGACAGATCGCTGCGTTGACTTTTGAAGCGACGCGCGAGTCCTGACGCTATAGCGTTACGCATTTATTTTCCTGTGAGTTCATTTTCCCCCCCTCTCTCGTTCTCCCTCTCTCCTTCCCGTGTTTGGGTCGCACTCGCTGCTGCGTCTCCGCCTGATTAAAAAAAAGAAGAAAAGAAAAAGTCAAATATTCCGTGGAGAAGGAAACATAGCAGGGGTGTTGTCAGAGAGGGATGAGAGGAGGAGGAGGAGGAGGGGGCCAGTATGAGGTGTGCTTTTTTTGGAAAAGCCGGAGAAAGACGGACACCGAGAAGGTGTGCTGATGTGCGGAAGCCTGCGACTGCGTTGCTCTCCTGAGAAATAATTGCGAGCCGGGGAGAAATGGCCTAGTTAGGAGATCATCGACACGCCGACGGAGGATAGAAAAGAAGAATCGTGCTTAGATGGACGGGCCATCATCACCATCATCATCCTCTTCTTCATCTTAATTCTGGTGCTTGCATCGCGTCTTTTAGGTAAGCCATATGTTCACCACCAGCACCCAAACGTGACTGGAGATTTGCTGTCTACCGCGGGCTTCATGTGTGCGCAATATGTTTGGTGACTTCGCACATTGCGCACGTTGCCCGTCCTGACGCACTGTCAATACTGAGGAATGAGATTCCCATGTAAAATCCTCGAGCCACTTTGTTGCTATAGCACACATTTTCTTCCTTTCAGTGGGAGCCTTCTATTGGCCTTGCCTGTTGATAAGCTGTGGCATCTTAACGCGATCGGTCCACTTTGCGTATCCAAGTGGTTTTAACCGCGCGGCTAGCGGGGAGATACGGCTGCGATTTAATTGGAGATCAGCTCATCATGCACGGGGACCGTCAATCAGACCGGCTTGCTATTCTCAGCCGGGGCTGCCGATCCCGCTCGATTGTGGAGATATTGATTATTTTCTGATGACCCCTTTTTTTTTTTCATTACACTTATTGATGACAGCTTAATTATGCCTCTGTGCTGCAACGTAACTCATCTCAAGCACAGTGTGTGACAGGCCTTGAACTCAGAAGACGTCTCCTCTAATCAACAAATTCACAACAGCTCTGACACACACACACACACACACACACACACACACACACACACACACACACACACACACACACATGCAGTCAAAAAAGCCTGTGCCCTAGAAGATGCAGATAGGATTGTGAATTAAATGCACATGCTGATGATCCAGGGAAAGCTCCATTAATATTCAGCGGTGGTTGGGCAGTGCTCAGTTAATGGAAGACAACAGGACCTCTGTTCTGACAGGTCATGAGAAATGGTATATTTTCATTTTTAAAGGAGTGAATGTGTGTTGTTTTTTTCCTCTCTCTCTCTCTCTCACACACACACACACACACACACACACACAGATATGGGGCCTGTAGCTACGGAGAAGTGACATTTAAAATCCATCAGAAAACCAATAAAGTGGTTTTGTAGACTTTTGAAGAATTTCGTATTACTCTTGTTGGCGTGCTGTTCAAATAGCTGTGATTGCTTTTCTTAGGCCGGCGTAACGTCAGCCTCGGCGCTGGCATTTTAGGAGGCTTACTCAAATACAGCAGAATGGAGCTGAAGACTGGGAAGCCTTGCCTGGGTTTCATCTTTTAGTGGGAATTTGTTTCACTACATATCAGACAAAATAAAAAATAAAAAAATAGCACGCTACAGTATGGCAGAATTGTAGCATGACCATTCTTCTTCATATACACCGCAGGTAATACGTGTGCTTCATCTGATTTTTTTTTTTTGTTTTTAATCTTCAAGAACATACAGAGATTGCCACCATTCCCAGAGCACTACGTCCAATAAACTACAGTTAAGGGCCAATAAAGTTAATACTGTGGCAAGCTTGGTGTCAGTCGGTTTCTAGAGAGAAAATGGCCTAGAAGTGAAGATAAAAGGGACGAAAAGGAAAGAACGGCCGCTTAATGGATTGAATGAGAACACAAGGTGGGGGACTTACAATCTGGAACAAAACGTGTTAAGTCTTAATGTTTAATGAAGTATGTTTGGGTGAGGAAGGTGAAGTGCTCAGAAGTGTTCACTTTAATATTCTCTCTCCTCTCGTAAAGTCAGAGCTTTCTTGCAGCAGCACAGCTGTTGGGTTATTTGTATAGGTGTATTTGTTTGTTTGGATGATGCAGCCTTGTCGCATATCAGTGCTTGTTTCCATCATTATAGCCCAGAATTTTAAAGCAATATGATTTTAATTATTATTTTTCATACCTCTATTACTTTCAGGATATTGTCTTTTTTTTTTTTTTAGCTGAATTTCCTCATCAGTGCTTTCCTGTGTGACTGCAGCTAAGTGATGTCACTGCATGTCTTGAAATAACAGGTAGCATGTAGAACATGGCAGCTGGTGAACAGGCTCATGCACGTTAGCATCCTGACCTTGCAAGCTGTTCTATGGTTTATGGATTCATAACTGTAAGATTGAGGTAATAAGCGATGGTAAAATGAAGTGTCATTTGTTACTTCATGTTTGAGGTTGGCACACACACACACACACACACACACACACAAGATTGCTTTCATCTGGCTGCACAAGACCAAAAGCCAACTGCAATTATATTTCTTTTTTTTTTTTTCAGTTTGAACCTACATGTTACTCCATGCGTTATTGCACTGTGAGAGACAAGGCAGGCGTTTGTGATCACTGTCATTTGATTGTCTTTGATGAAAGAGAAAACACACAAAAAAGGAAAACTACCAGGGACTAAGCCTTGGATGAGACAGTTTTCTTCAAATACCTTCTGGGTTTACTTTTGTATTATTTGCTTGGAATGCTCAACGCTATAATTCTCACTTTAGAGCCACTTTAGATTATTTTTGGTGTCAGAATTGTATTTTAGATTAACAATAGAAAAAAAAACATAAACTAGAGAACTAAAGACATTACACACTGGGGGAAAAGCCTTAATAAGGGGATACTTTGAAATAAGATACTTTGAATTGTGCAAAAATATTATATTTCCTAATGTTTTTCTATGTTCTCATATAATCCAGTTCAAAGTGCTCCAAGCTGACCTTGAAGAAGAGGTGGAAGAGATTTACACTTCCAAAACAAACAGTATGTTTTCAGGTTATGGCAAAGTCAGCATCGTGTTTTAATCCAGAGAAGGTTTGATCACTAGTGTGAACACTAGAGCTTGTTTCTGTTAGAAATACCCAACACAAAATAGCCTTCATTAGGGTAACGCACACCCAGTGCACTTAAACTGATTTTATTTGTGCAGAGTTAACATGCTCTTATTTTAATGTTCATATTTCCATGGATACTTCCTGGGTTTGACTCTCAGTCCTTTTTTTTTCAGTTGTGAGTGAGTTCCACAACGAGAGTCTTCAGGGTTGTGCACTTAGAGAAAGTGTTTATCAAGAGTCCAAAAATTCCACAAAAGAGCCCTCATGCCGTTTACAATTGTACTGTGTGGGACTGACCTGAGCCCTTAGAGATTTATCAAGAACATTCTTCACAAGTCTGTTATTTTTGTTGTTCTGAACTTTGGGATTAGATGTAACCCATAGTCACTGCTGCAGTACACTTAATACCACTGACTAGCTGTCCATAAAGCTGCACATAGGACATCACTTCTTAAATTTGGAGTCTTTAACTCATTCACTGCCAGCCATTGGCAGTGAATGAGTTAAACCCATTGACTCATTCACTGCAATTGACGGCTATAGACGTCATTGGCAGTGAATGAGTTAAACCCATTGACTCATTCACTGCCATTGACGGCTATAGACGTCAATGGCAGTGAATGAGTTAACACTCTAATGGTGGGTTTTTAAAAAAATTGAACAATAAAAATCCGGACAAAACAGCACTAAAACCCATCTGCCGCTCGTTTATATTTGAATTGTGGGAGCTGTTGCTATCCGCTCATCGTATCCCGTACCTTAGCCAAGTGTCTTTAACCCTTCTTGATATAAAACATTTACTGTATGCTGGGTTTAAACCTGTAGCTGCTGTAATGGAAGCTCGGAGATTTTAATTTCTGACCGAAGATGTCGAGTCAGAGGAAAGGGAGGTTAAAATGACCCAGCTCTCAGTCATATCACGACCACAGAGAGGAGAAGCTGTAGAATAGCTTGACCTGACCCATTATCTGTGAGCAAAGTAAAGCTGGAGAAAACGCCTGTGCAAATGCCATGGTAACCATCTTGTGCAACCTCCTTTGAAACAACATCACATAAGAGTGATCCATAAGATAAGCCAGGATAAGGGCCATCCTGTCTCGCGCGCTCCGAGAAGAATATCACGGCAAAACCCATTAAAATATGCACTAAGTTAATGCGTCTTTTTATTAGTGACAAATGCAAAAGCCCAGTAAAAAGGGACACGTGACCTTTCCTGAAACACAAAGATCCACCTTTTAAATTCATCGCACGTGATCCATTAAGCAGCTGTAATATTTGATTTATTTTATTTGATTTATTTGTTTTTGCAGTGGTGTACAAACTCCAGCTGGCATTGAAATATGACATGTATTCTTAAAAAAATATTATAATAAATATTCCTGTCATGGTTATTATGGAGCTGTGGGCTGTGTTGACATGAATGAGACGCATTTGACATGATACTTTCTATTAGGGCGGCAGCCCATTTTGCTGTTATTTAAATGTCAGCATCTACATTTTTAGATGGGGATTTGATATCTGCTTTATGTGGCGAACGGTAGTCTCATCGGCTGAAGGACACTGACGACAAGTGTGAAATACAGCAGAACTGCAGGAACTGTAGATAACCACTTGCTTTCTGCCACTGCTGCAGGATTGAACTGTTGCTCGTTGTAAAGTACACAAGAGTGTGTGATTCATGTCAGCTGGTGCTTGGCAGTTCAATCACTGCTTTACAGGAGCCCAACAAATAAAGGTGAAGTCATAATTTGGGAAGTCAGTGAAAACTGATGCGGTGATTAAGAAGTCATTGTGTGTCCACTGTCCTTTTTGTCTCTATCACCAAATCAATATTTAAAGCTAAGCACAATGTAAGAACGTGGCCAATAGAAAGATGCTAGGTAATGTAAAATGCTCTCATTTAAAAATACAGAACAGCAATCATCAAACTCTGACCAGCGTTGAACAGCATACCGAATACTAGTGATGTTTAAAAATGTTTTTCAAAATTCGGACAAAAGCTGCAGACGTTCTGCATTCATTGCTGAAAAATATGAACCCCTGGGTGTGGATTTGATAAAAAGAGCAAGCTTTGAAGCTTCACTTTAAGTGGCGAGCTTTAATGTGAAAATTGGAGCTTTTTCAAATTTTGTCTTCTTTTGAATCTTGGTCTCTCACCTAAAACATGCACTGTACACAACATTTAAATAACTGAACATTAAACTTGCTGCCCTGTGTAAAAATTGTCATCCCACAAGGATGATTTGTTGCGTTTTATTTATTATACATTAAGTCACTAGATGCTGTATCTTGCTCAACTTGGTGTAAAAACCCATGTTGGATGTGCAAA